TCCCCAAGCATCCAAAATTTATCAGAAAAGATATATCTTGGCAAGGGCTTGGTGGCACAGTGGTGGTGGTGCTGTCCATTACAAGTATGGCGAAGGGTGAAACCCGCATTGGACTTACATCCTCTCGTGCCTCAGGTGTCTGGAAGTTGGTACTAGACTTGCCTGGGAGTAGTACATCGTCGCAGTTCAAATGGGAACGCTCTTGCCATTCTATCCCAGGACTCCTGGGAGAATCGACTCGACCGAGATTTAACGACTTTCTTAAAGAAGACGACAATCCTCAAGCAGCAGCTAAAACTACACGCAGTATTTCGAAGGATAATGGATGCGTAGAAACGAATTGAATGCGAGAAGTGATGGGATCCTCATAACGAAAAATGGTTGTCCCGAAAAAATCTTGACAAAGCGATATATTCTGTCTGGAGATAACTGTTTCCATAGAACGTTGTGTTTACATTTCTATGGTGGAATTTAGCGATAGGAGTGCTTGTTGCGTAGTGGTTAAAGGTGCCCTGAAATACAGCTGCGGTCGATCCCGCGGCTCAGACTCACCAAGTTTTCGATCCATTCGGGGTCAGCAAATTGGTACCACACTTTTCTGGAAGGATAGCAACACTGATTTGATACTTTAGCAGGTCACCGGGAGTCATTATATAGGCCAGACATGCATACGATTTTTATCCTTTTATCTTTTCATTTGAAAATATATTGTGCGTGCGGTCTGTCATAGTTTGTTAGTCATCATTAGAAGTCAATAAGTTATGCAAGTTTACAATCGCCAGTGAATCCAATCAAGCTGAAGCTCCAGACATAATCACAATGTCTTAGCTTTTATTCAATGCCTTTATTTATTGAGTGAGAGAAAGACAAAGCAAGAGCCTCGATTGGTGCAGTGGATAACACATGAGCTCCCGAAAAACTAATTGCGGGTTCGAAGCGCACCTGTTTTTCTCAGTTGTGCTCATATCTCAGCATTCTCATGGTTATATTTCACATAGAAACCGTTGTTTTTTGGCCCTCTACCAAAATTTGTAGTTCCAAATAAAATTTCAACATACTTTGTCGTACATAGAGGCAGTTTTTATCGTTGGAATTCAACATATGTGCTTTACCCAGTAAGTTAGTCTTTTCTTCATGAGCAGGCGCGATGTTCCTAACAACAAGATTTGTGCAGTACCGGCTGACGTTTGGGCTGTTTCGTCTACTTCAGATCCCGGAAATGTCAAATTGACATGCGATTAACCCAGTCAAAAATATTTATGTCATTAGCAAAAAAAAAAAAAGAAAAACGCGGTACGTGCATTTCATTCACATATACATAATCACAAATAGCTCTTACTGTTTTGTTCTTTATAAGTCTTCTAGTTCTTTTTGAAGATCAACCGCACAGAGTCTCGCATGGGTCAGAAATATCCTGGGTTCAGGTCAAAAAAATTGGCGTGAGGTATATCGCGAAGTCACGCGTGGTTAGGGGGTACGCTTCCATACGGTTCATCTTTGGATTTTTGAAATTCATGCAAGATACTTTAAGAGATTTACATGCTGATGTTTTGGGTTCCTGTGCGAGGATCACCTGTCCCTCATTGATCATCAAGGTGAATCGAACGAGCGCCAGTAAATCTTCCATTTCTCCTTGTCGCGAGCAAGAGTATCCCAGTGGGTTTTGATCGTTCTAAGGCCTTGTTGGGCATAATATCTTTTGTCTGGAGTTTTAGTAAAGAACTCTGACCATCTTGTTGGTCGTCTTCGTGCAGTACGTTTGACATGAGGTGGAGTCTAGTCTCCAAAGGCTCTTGTCCATCGGTCGTCGTTCATACACATTACGTGTTGAGTCCACTTTGTCATCGACAGTTTGACGTATATAATGGCGTCTTTAATTTTTGATCAGTGACGTAGGTCGATATTTCGGATCCCTTCCCTTATTTATGTGTTACAGGATACTCCCTCAGCATTGTCATTTCGACTGCGCATCCTATAACGCTGAGTAGACTTTCATACTGCTTAAGTACTTCTTCTTCTACAGGCTTCTGACGCATAAGTTAAAGCAGGAAGTAACGTTGGGTGGGAAAGGTAGGCACGGAGTTGGGTGTTCTTTGTTCTCTTCACTACATCTCCGATGCTCTTGAACGCTCCTCATGCCGTTCGTTTCCTTTTGCTCAACTCCAGAGCTACGTCGTTCATCACGTTGATTTTCCGACCTAGATGAACATAACTGGAGCATTCGGATATATCTATTCCGTTGGGAATCAATGGGGCATACAAAACCAATCTGTTCTTCATAAAAATCGTTTTTGTGGGATTTAGTCGAAGATCAATTTTTCTACAGGTTTTATCAAAGTCGGCAAGAATTTTTTCCGTTTGTCTAATGCTTGATGCTACGAGAAGGATGTTGTCAGCAAAGTAAGGATGGTGTAATTGTCGACAATCGATTTCTACTCAAATGTTGGCGTATTCGATTAATCGCATAACGTTCTAGAGGACGGCTCTAAATTATTTTGGCGAGATCGTGTCGTCTTGCATAACCGATCTTTTTACGTCGATGGCAATCTCGTTGTATACTGGAGATATTTTGGTTCTGAAATTTTGTATAGCTCACCAGCAATCTTTGTACACTATGTATTGACGTCTTGGCTGTCGAGGGCTTCCATGACTGCGTCTGTTTCATATGAATCCAGAATTTTCTTCAAATTGATGGAACTTAGATGAAGTGATTTGTACTTTGGTGATATCTCACTGAGTCTTGTTGTCGTGTGTATGTGGTCCGTCATGCTGTATCCTTCTTGAAAGCCTACTTATTCACATGGATTGTTCTAACATGAGGATGTTGAATAAGCCGATCCTGCTGCTCGTCAATGTTATCAAGAACGACATCTTCCCAACGGCCAACTAGTGAACTGAAGAAATCCAAACTTATGGTGGTTTTGGTACTTTTTTTTCTGAATTCAGCGGCGTTTTTTCATTTTCGCTAGATATGGAATCTTGCACGAAGGAGGGAAAGAGGCGGTGGCTTGATCCTCTGTGGAATTTTGGGACAACATCGACATCGGTTAGGCAAAACCTTCGATTTACTCTGATGTAGTCTATTTCTTTATGGTACTCTCCATTAGAAGGCTTCCACATACAGCGCTGAGAGCGGAGCTTCTGGAATTGCTAGTTACTATGAGTGGTTATAGTAGTCGTAATAAACTTCCTAATAAATAATAGACAGCCGCTCACTCTGGTCGTTTATTTCTAATCCGTAGTTTTCAATACATCGTGCTTCAGACGTTTTTCTGGGTCAAATCTTTGCTTTGAAATCTCCAATAATGACTTTAAAGAACGTACAGCCTTCTCTGCAGAACATCTCCAAGTCCATATAGAACGCTTCGAATTCTTCGTCGTTATAGCTTGGTGACGGTGAGTAAACGACGAATATTGTCAAGGCGGGTATTTATCCATATTTCTTCACTCGTAGACGTCCGATTTGTGTTGTTAATTGTTTAAGTGAATCGAAGTTCACGGGCACACTCGTGTTGACGAGAACACTGACGCCGCTGACTCCTCTTGTGTGGCATAGTCCGAAGAAGAATTCTTCATCGGTGTCATAGTCGGCGTTGAATAGTTAGCGCTCGAGGACTCAGGTGCAGTTGAGCGTGCATTGTAGATATAGATTGTCACATTAGTCCTTTCCGATATAGGAAGTCTAGAATGACCCTGAGATTTATGCAGCCTGTCCATACTCGTCCTAGCCAACGCTACTGTGTTCGGGTGCTCTTTTAGGGTCAGTAAAATGATGCCCACTTATTTTGCTCTGTTTAGCGTTTCATAATCTTGTATAGTTTTCTGAGCTGTAAACATGAGAGCTGAGTATACTCAGGAGTAGCTTGCCATTCTCTCCGAGTAGACCAGGGTGCTTATTTGTTGGATGCGACACCGAACCGCCTCCCATATACTTTCCTGTTACTTGACCGCAGGCTTTTGGTCGAATTGGCTTGTAAAGATACAATCCGCATAAACTAGAACGCACCCAAACGCGCATTTATGAATCCTTCTTGTAAATACAAAAAGTATGTGCCAAATCGGCGCAGAAGAAATGGAGAGCCCATCCTCTTGATCCACCTGCGTCTCAGGGAAGCAAAGGTCGCTTTTGGTCCATGGTTAACCCCCTATAAGCCACCTGGGGACGCTCCACGTAGGCTCGCAACTAGCATTCCACTTCATTAAGCATCGTTGTAGGTGAGTGAATGCATATTTGGTCTTTACAATGACTCGCAGTGGCCTATCGATGTATTGAGCCAGTGCTGCTCTCCCCACAGACAACTCTGGTAGCAGTTTGCCGACCCCGGAGGATGATCGGCTTGGGGGCCTATGAGCGCGGGGATCAATCCCATGTGTATTGCAGGGCGTCTCCGACAACTTCGCAGCATGTGCCCTAGGTTGCGAGGATAGTAAATTTTATTTGAAAAATATTCTTCGTTATGTTATACCTTTTTATTTTCTGCCTACTATAATCAACCCTGCTGACGGGTGTTTCCCCGGAAAGGATAATAGTGCGTTCGTTCCCCACCATAGACACCTGCGGTCCAGAGTTTTACAAATATCTCAGCAACGTTGTGGCTGTATTTCGCTTAGTACCCTGCCGCGAAATTATAGTAGGCAGAAAATAAAAAGGTATAACGTTGTGATTTCAACTACAGCCGCAGCTTAACAGGGTTCTATGCCGATTTGGGCGCCCCAGATCAATCCCGCTGACGGCTGATTGCTGTGGCAAAGATCGATAGAAATAGCTGAGAGACAGGCGGCACAAAGGACCCGCATGGTGTGGTGGTGAACGCTTTACTCCCCGGAAAGAATAATAGCGCGTTCGTTTCCCACCATAGACACCTGCGGTCCAGAGTTTTGCAAATATCTCAGCAACGTTGTGGTTGTATTCTTCGTTCTGTTTTTTTTTTTTGCCTTAAACATGTCTCGTGGAGTGTTTTGACGTTAAGTGAAACTTTGTACACCTTTTTGGAAAACTAATGTTCCAGCAGTTACGATTTGGACTTAATCCGATGTCATTCCTTCAAGTAGAAAAAAAGAAATTTCAGATACACCAGTATCAAGTCACAATCGCAAAAATGAGTGCACGTAGAACTAGTGTTGTGAAAAACAGGTATGTGTTTTAAATACATCTTGTTAAACGTCTTTTCCTTTTGTATAGGCGAATTGAAGATTTTGTTGTGAAAAGTCATTCTTTTAAAAAACACTCACATGGCGTCGCATGCTTAGTGTTGGCAGCTTTGGTTGAGTAGACCATTACTACCTTGTGACTTGAATCCTTCCAACATAGCAGCCATTCTCGTTAGAACGGGAATTCGTGGATTAAGCGATTAACCACCCTGGGCAGTGCATCGAGATGAACCCGATATCCGCATCGGAGCCTGTTATTGTCATTGATTCACCGAAAAATTTCTATGATATATGACGAAGAGGTTCTACAAAGCACATTCAAAGATTGTGGTATGTGTTATAGAATATGTTAGCTATTATTGAAATATGGATTGTTTAAGGCTTGATGGTCTGTTCTGCTGTCGCAGGAATCTAGTTTGTTTCATAGTGAACTTATACCAACAGAGCGAGTTTTCCTTGAATCTTGAGTTTGCGATGTCAGAGCAATCCAATTCGTAGGAATTTTTTTTTACCTTGGGACGATGTTCATCGCTTCGTGTACCCCATTCGCATATAATAGCAGAACTGAAAACTGCCTGATGCCTTCTTCGTCAGGGGAAGATTTATTCTCTGACACCGATGCATAGCAGTTTCATCCAGTACCAGTAACTAGCCACAATCGTGTTGAATGTACTCAGCAGCAGAACTTTGTGTAAGAGGGTGCAGCATTTATTCGATATCGAAGAGATTGTCTCTATACACATCAATAAAAAATTTTGTGTTGTAACTTTTTAAATATTTCCCGTCTTGATTAGACTTTAATTTCAGAGAGCAGGTGTGTGATATTTTCTGGCAATGCGTAAGGCGCAATGAAGACTTCTTCGGACCATACTACGAGATCACTTTTGATGACTACGCAAGGTAACGGTACTTGTAATAAGAATAAGTCGGTTTCTCTTACTAAGCAAACATACTTTGAAAGCTTTAAAATTCCCGCTTATCCCACTCTTAGAAAACTAACGGTTTGCTTTTTATTTGATTTTTTGCATTATTTTAATGCTGTGAATAACATGCTGATTCAAAAAAACGTGGTATTTAAAACGATGAGTAACGATTCGATTTAGAGGTTTTGAATAGTGTTTTTTGGTAGCTTGTCTTACCAAATTCCATAAACTGGTGGTTAACCTGTATCGGAGTTTCAAACATAGTGGCTGGTTACCACATTAGGCCAACATATCTCATCTCATGATTAACTTTGTTAATTGAAATGAAATGAAAACCGTTGAAACCAACAGGTTTTTCATAACATGTTGTCTACGAAGACACCGTTCTGATATTGTGTAGATCAAACACGTATTTTTTTTACGCTTTTGTTCTTCAAAGGTCGTATTTCTAACATCGAAGCGATTGAAAAGTCGCTGTTTCGTAGAACAGTACGAATGGTGGTCCCTCTCCAGTATATCGTTGATGTTTGTGGATGCCGCGCTTACGTTCGGGGTTTTGAAAAATTTTTTTTCGTCATCATTTTTTTTCGGAGGTTTCAGGTCTAAAAGTTTGGAAATGAAATTCGTGAAAATTATTGGCTTGCTCGAAAATTGATATCGCATTTGTTTTGTTTTTCATGCAGACATGACTCCTTTAATTTCAGTGCGTTTTCTATAAATCAGTGGAAGTTTAGGAATGAAGAGAATGAAAAATTTGAGTGGAGATGTTCAAGTTCAAACAAGGTAATGAGGACACGATGTTATACCTTTTTTCTGCCTACTATAATTTCGCGGCAGGGTACTAAGCGAAATACAACCACAACGTTGCTGAGATATTTGTGGCAAAGATCAATAGATCTTGGCTTAGTTATAATCACAATCTTGGTTAAGCCTCAGCTTAACTGGGTTCAATGCCGATTTGGACGCCCCAGATCAATCCCGCTGACGGGTGATTGCTGTGGCAAAGATCGATAGAAATAGCTGAGAGACAGGCGAAACGAAGGACCCGCATGGTGTGGTGGTGAACGCGTTACTCCCCTGAAAGGACAATAGCGCGTTCGTTTCCCACCATTGACACCTGCGGTCCAGAGTTTTGCAAATATCTCAGCAACGTTGTGGTTGTAATAAGGGCACGTTTGTTGGACATATTGCGGTTAAATATTCCCTTCGGAATTTGAATTTGCAGAAATTATTGATCTCTTGTGTGAAGTCATTTGCAATGTTCTTATAAGTCATTCAGAGAGTAACCCTCACGGTCAGCTATGTATCTCACTTTAAATTTGATATTAATGCTGACGATGTTGCCCAGAGAAATCTGTCTGCAACAGTAGTCAAGTCGCTTGTTTCTCAACGTGCGCGATACTTCCCTGCAGAAGGTGATAATGACTGGTTAGTTCCGCTACCAATTTCTTTCCGCAGAAGTATTAGTTTTGTTTGTAATTTTCACGAAATTCCCTTGTTGTTGACGCGGGGTTGATATCAGTTGGTGTTGCAGTCGTGATTCGATGGCTGTCGTTTCGGTGACTTCGTCTTCTTCAGGGTCTGTATGTATTTTATATGATGCTGTCCATGTATTTTGGTGACATATCTGTAACACTTATGAGGCTCGATTATTTAAATATACGCCACCTTGTCTAAAGACTGCTTACCGTTTAAGTAAGGGGTGACGAACCTCTGTTTTTCATGAGAAGATGAGGATGAGAAGTAAGATTCTCTGAGATCAGAAAATTAATCTGAGAAAAGCCTCTAGGTCACGTGTGATAGTTAGGCATTCATCTTTTCTGGTTCATTTTTCGAAATTTGAAGTTTATCGAGAACGCTCTAGGAATCTCGCGCGTTGGTGTTTTTGATTTCTGCGATCCTGCTAGTCATTTCAAAATTGTCACCATTGTGTTTTTGTGCCGTAATGTGTACCTAGAGGATTACCTTGCTTCTGAATTTTACCCATCCCCCATTGACGTTTTTTCTGCGGGCAAAAAGCGGTCTACCCGTTTCACCAATGTACTCTTTACCGCACGCTTACATCAGATTAAGTATATTGTGTACTTATGCAATCCCCGTTTGTGCCATTAGGACAGATTACACAATTTTCTGAGCTGCACAAACGATGATAGAGGTTGCACTGTAATTGACGGTGTGTGGTACTAAGTGGGAGGTCAGTGACTACTACAGAATTTTTAAGATCACTTCTTCTTAGACAACCCTCAATGAAGTAACTTAGATATTGGCTCCCCAGATTAATCCCGTTGACGGGTGATTGCTGATGGCAAAAAGATCGATAGAACTAGCTGAGAGACATGCAAAGCGAAGGACCCGGATGGTGTAGTGGTGAAGTGCGCTGCTCCCCGGTAAGGACAACAGCGCGTGTTCGTTCCCCACTGCATACACCTGTGGTCCGGAGTTTTTCAAATATCTCAGCATTTCATACGAGTTATATTTCGCAACATAACCTGCCATTAAGAAGAAAAAGGCAGTAAATAAAAGAGTTAAGAAGTAACTTAACTTCGTTCTATATGAAAAGTAGCTTAAATGGAATCTTGTCTAGATTTGTAACAATATTTTGGAACAAAACTCTACTTTGTGATCTGGCCCGAATGGTTTCTGCTTCGTAGCCGTTGGAAATGGTTATTTTTTGTGCCAAGTTTAACAATTTCTTTCGTTCCTCTTTTCCTGTGCACACATTTTTAGCCTTTCGGTACAGTTAGTGCTTTTCATGTTTGAGGGAAGAGAGGAGAGGTGCCGCACTAGTATATCTTTGCTACTTGGTTTCCGATAGCATTTTGTTATGTAGCCACTTCCTGAAAGCTTGAAGGTTTAAGAATGGATACCAATTCTCAGTTGATTTTTCTCTCGTAAATTGTGTGTCCTCTGGCAGTCTATTTAACAACTGCAATGTCAACTCACTTTCAAAAATAGAGCTTTCGGGAAGTGGCTACATCAAGAAGTGAAAAATTTGTACTATATAGAAGGCTAAAGGAAGGAATTGCTAAAATTGGGACGAAAAATAGCCATTTTCAATGGCTATGAAGCAGAAACCGGTGGGACTGGGTCACAAAGTAGGGTTATGCCCCAAAGCAATCTTTTAAGTCTAAATAAGATTCCTTTCAAGCTACCTCCCATATAAAACGAAAAAAAGTTGTGCGATTGAGGGTCGCCTTAAAAATTCTGTAGCAGTTAGTGATCTCCTACTTAACACCAGATGCCATCAATTAGACCGCAACCGCAGTGATCGTTTGCGCAGCTCAGAAAATTGTGTAATCTGTCCAAATGCCGGACACAGTGATTGCATGAGTTCAGTGCATTGTAGTCTAATTTAAGGAATGCTACAAAGAATACATTAGAGGAAGCGGGTAGACTATTTTTTGTCCACATAAAGGAACATTTATGCGGCAAACTTGAAATTCGGCAAAGTAATCCTTAGGCATAGGGCACAAAAGCACAGCGGTGGCGATTTTGAAGTGACTGCCAGGATACTGGTGCAGGAATCAAAAATATCAATGCCCCAGACCCTTAGAGCGTTTTGTATAAAGTTCAAAAGTCCAAAGTTGAACCGGAAGGACGAATGACTCGCTGCCACGCTCAACCTGGAGTCTTTTCTCAGATTGACTTTTTGATCTGGACTGATCTCACTCCTCATCCCTCGTGAACAACATGTGGGTGGTCTCACACCACACAAAACAATGATTAGTTTTTAACAAAGTGATGTTTAGCTTAAATAATAGTTCATTAGTATTGTGAATAAGTCGGCGAATTACATGGATATGGATTATTTAAAATATGTAAAGGCTGTGAAGAAGACGAAGTCGTCGAAATGCCAGCCACGGATTCACGAAAAGAGCTGACACCAACCTCGCGTCAACTCAACAAGAATAATCTTAACCCTTTTATTTACTGCCTTTTTCTTTTTAATGGCAGGGTATGTTGCAAAATATAACTCGTATACAATGCTGAGATATTTGCAAAACTCTGGACCGCAGTTGTATGCGGTGTGGAACGAACACGAGCTATTGTCCTTACCGGGGAGTAGCGCACTTCACCACCACACCATCCGGGTCCTTCATTTTACCTGTCTCTCAGCTAGTTCTATCGATCTTTTGCCATCAGCAATCACCCGTCAACGGGATTGATCTAGGGAGCCCAAATCGGCATTGAACCCAGTTAAGCTGAGGCTTAGTTATAATCACAATCTTGGTTAAGCCTCAGCT